AGGGAGGTTGTGGAGTCTCCTTCTCTGGAGATATTCAAGACCCACCTGGACAAGGTCCTGTGCAGCCTGCTGTAGGTGACCCTGCTTCGGCAGGGGGGGTGGACTAGATGACCCACAGAGGTCCCTTCCAAACCCTACTATTCTGTGATTCTGTGATACGCCTTGCTCTGCATCCCCCTGCCCCCTCCCGCCCTGGTGCTGAGGACTAAAGCACCCCGTGAGGGAGCTGAGGGAGCAGTTTTGGTGCTGGCAGGAGCCCGTGAGTGCGCTGGAGTCTAAACAAGTAATGGAGGCAATGGGAAAGTGTGAGGCAGCAGATATCACGTGAGGAGGCAGCTGTACCTGCTTGGGCTGTAGCGGGAGTAACTGGGGCTCCGACGAGGCCTTGAACTCCGGCTCCCAGGACTTTTTTTGCAGGATTTGGAGGAATAGCTGGGGGAACGTGAAGAAGACCTGGGGACAGGCAAGAATGATAGAAGAGTTACAGACACTGGAGGGTGACGAAGTACCAGACTCCTCTGAATCTGGGCTTACGGGAGGAAGAGATGCCCCATATTTCAGGGCCTTTGCTCAGCTCTGTGTGCCCAGTTCACCCCAAGCCATGTGGATCCCTAGGCACCCCCCAAACTCTTACACCTCACCCTGCAAGGAGCCTGCCAGCCTGCAAGACTTAGACATTGCCCAGGGTCATAGAGACAGCCGACCGAGTTGGCCTTACCTCTTTCCTGAAGAGCAGGACCTGCTTCGGGAGTACCTGGGAGAGGCCTTGCGGTGTGAGGAGCGGGAGCGGCTGGAGCTGGGGGAGGATCTGCCCGTGCTGGTGTAGGACTCGCTGCGGGAGCACGGCCTCAGCGGGGAGCTGTGGGTTGGGGAAGGGAGGAAGTTTCGCTTCTTCTCCTCCGAACAGCTGAGGCACAACGACAGGCACCCTCTGTGAACATATATTTGGACAGTCATTGAAGCTGTGGCTGAACTGGGACTGGTCCCTGGCTGAAGGGAGCACCACGCTCCAGCCAACAGATACTCCCATCCTCCCATTCCCCAGCTGGGGATAAAGACAACCCCCCAGCTCCCCAGGCTGTTGTTGCAGAAGACCCTGTGTGCATGGGTCAAAGCCCAAGAGCTCATCCTCCAGGCTGTGCCAGGGAAGGGCTGTGGAAGAGGTCTCCGGTGGCACGAGCGGCAGCTCTTCTGCCCCACGCCCAGCACACCAGAGGTGTCTGGTTGGCAGAGCCTGCGTCAGGCCAGCGAGCAGTGCAGGTCCTGGGGAGGGAGCGAGGTGAGAAGTGCTGGAGCAAGGGAAAGCCAGAGCATGGCAGGGCAAGGGCCTGTGCTCCAGCCTGGCTGTGGCGTGCCCCGTTGACTTTGGACAGGGCTGCGTGAATTCCGCTGCTTCCAGAAGTGCCCTGGGTATGAACCGGGGTTAGAGCCCGGCAGCAAGGCAGCCTCCCAGCAGCCAGCTGCAATCCCAGCTCCACCCATGTGAAGGCAGAGTTATCCCACTGGAATCACAACGAGGAAAGTATATACAGCCCTTAAAATTTTATCCTCTGACTGAAAATCGAGGGCTTGTTCTTCCTAACGCCAATTCCCCTGGCTCCCTCTCCTCTCTCATTCCGTGCTCCCACCCCCAGACCACACCCTGGCTCTAACTTCCAGCGCTGAAGACCCGAGGGCCTGAACTGGAAGAGCTCCCTAACACCACTGCCCGAGCACAGCCTCGGGTACCAGCCACGGCGCTTCAGTGCCCTCATCCCCGACATCACCTGGCAAACCCCCAGGGACGGGAGGCACAGATGGAGGCTGGCATCTGCTCCCCTCTCCCAACCATGACCTGTGGCACCGGATGGCGGTTTGACTCCTGTCACCCCGTGGCCCCAGCGTCTACTGTGTTATCCCACAGCCAGCGAGGCGCTTGCCCCTCCCTGTGCTCACCACCTGCAGGACATGCTGTCTTGTCACCCAGGACCAGTCCTGAATGAGCTGGGAAGAGACAGGCTGGATCTGGCTCATTGGACAGGTGAAAGAACAGCCTGCAATGGCTTTAGCGAAAATGAACCCCGCTCCCCTTCCCCACAGTGAGTGGAGTGGGAGAACGAGCACGGCAACCCCCTGATGCGCCTTTCCAGACTTTGCTCAGCGGCTCTCTTCTTTGACACGGTCATGTCCAGCCGAGCAGGGCTGCGTTCAGGACATGGCTTGACCCAGGGCCAGACCCTGCAATCGCCACATTAATGCCAGAAGAGCCGGCACAGGCAATGCCCAGCGGCGTGATGGTTGCGTTTTACTCCTCAGGCTACAGTACTGGTCATTGCTGGGCGGTGGATGTCAGACTGGCAAGACTGTGGGTCTGATTGGTATCTAAGTGCCTCCAGACCACAAAAACCTCCCTGCCAGCTCACCACTGCAACCAGCGAGCGGGCAGGAGATACAGAGCAACAACGTACCAGGTATTTGGCTGCCAGCAGCAGCTACTGGTAATCACTGACCTTCGGTCTTGTCCCTGGGCATCTGGAGACAGATTTTCCAAAGCTGTTCCCTTGGTCTGGGAAAAGCAACTGGTGAAGGAATTTCCTGAATCAGAGCTGTTATCGCTGTTGGCCAGTTTGGGCTTCCCGGACGAGAAGGCATGGCCAAAGCCATCATGGACTAGACTTCTTTTCTCCTGGCTGTCCTTTGACCTGGATGAGCTCGTTTGAGTGGAGGGAGGGGAGGAAGTATCGTTTCCTGAGTCATATTCATGATACTCTCCGTTCTGTCTGGCTAGGTTGCCAGGCGGGCTGTCTGTTTTGGTAAAGAGGTCAGCAGAAGACCCTGACTGAGAGATCTGAAAGCAAAAAAGCCATTTGGCATTGTTTGAACGGTTTTTTTTTTGGGGGGGTGTTGTTTTTGGTTTTACTGTGCTTTTTAATTTTTTTAAATAAACCCAGAAATTTTACCATCATGATGCACTGAAACAAAAGGAAAGGAAAGAAACAAAGTAAGAAAGAAGGAAAGAAAGAAGAAAGAGGAGAAGAAAACAAAAGCACATATCCCTGAAAGAAATCCACAGTAAGAAGAAACTTCTTTTCCCCCTGCTATGATAACGGGAAGATTTAGAGATCATGCAAAGAGTATCAGCATGCGATTCATGTTAAACAAAAGAGTTCAACAATGTAAACGGGCAACCAAAAATCAAAATAACTAACTAAATAAAAAAGGTATAACAGAAGACAAAGCCCTTATTTAACCTTAAAAAGGGGAGGGAAAAAAATGGGAATATACATCTAAAAACCCTACATAATCCTTGGAAAAAAAATAAAAATGAAACAAAATCTCAAACAAGTGAATTTTTTAAGCTTCCTTAATAAAGAGGCTGAATGAATGTCACTAAAATAAGCAAAGAAAAGTCAAATCAAATTAAGGGCTTCTGTACAAAGTCAAAACTGGCAAATAAATGATCTGAGCACTTTGAAACAAAAAAAACCAAAAGAAAAAAGGAGGGGGAGGGAAAAAAGAAAAATCCCTCTGGAAATAAAAGGTATACAGATACTTCTTTGTGTGCTATTTTTCCCCCTGAAGAAGATATAGCTAATGCACTCGAGTGACCTCTAATAAATTCCCTGGTGTCTTGCGGATAGCATCCACTTACCCATCAAGAACTCCTCCTTTAGTAGGTAAGGTGTAAGAAAAAAGGAAGAG